CAGATTTTTGAAAATAAATGAATGCTTTATGTTCATCCTTTTCAACTCCAATTCCATCTTGAAAACATTCTCCAAGTCCACATGTTCCACAAGCGTTCCCCATCTCTGCAGATTTTTGATAATAAATGAATGCTTTATGTTCATCTTTTTCAACTCCAATTCCACTTCTATGACAATATCCAACCATATACGTCCCACTAGCGTTCCTCATCTCTGCAGATTTTTGATAATAAATGAATGCCTTATGTTCATCCTTTTCAACTCCGATTCCATTTCGGTAACAGTTGCCAAGTGCAAATATTCCACTAGCGTTCCCCAACTCCGCAGATTTTTGATAATAAATGAATGCCTTATGTTCATCCTTTTCAACTCCAATTCCTTCGTCGTAGTAATATCCAACGTTATATGTTCCTGTAGCATTACCCATATCTGCAGATATTTTATAATATTCAAACGCTTTTTTCTCATCTTTTTCTACTCCAATGCCATGTCCGTAATTATACCCAAGATATACAAACTCAGTTGAGCTTGCCTTGTTCATATTTTTTTTAAAGATATGCAGTAATTTTATTATATGTTATTTCACTTTCTTCTTTTCTAGATATCTCTTTTAATAACTCTTTATATTCTTGTATTCTTCCTCGGCTTACATGAAAATTTATATTTGATTTTATTTACACAAATTGATATACTGTAAATATCGATATCCAATACAATAAATTGTATCAATATTGTGGAACTATATGTTGTGTCATAGATGTCAATCTGGTCTAAATTAATTTATATTTAGCTGAGCTTTTAGATTAAAATTAGCAAAATTAAAATCTAGGCTGTCCTGATTGACAATTGTACATTTGAGGTCAACATATAACGATAAAACGTTATTCGCAATGGTTTAAAGTTTTCGCGTAGGAAGGGTTTGCAGTTACGTACGTATATACCTAACATGATAATCAAAGAGATTATCACAGGTCAAACCGGCATTTCCGAAAATAAGATATATCCAGGATTATGCGATGAATACTTGACCATTTTTTCGCATAATTAATCAATATTATAGGATACCATGATCGTTTCTTTATATCATATTGTTGATCATTATTTTCAATAAATCGATTCTTACTCTTCATAGTACAAATCTTAGAAAAAGTAATTTAGCAGAATATTCTGCATACAGTGCGGGGAACCTTAAACCAGCATGTAAAGTAGATGATTTAAAATCGTATTACAAAATACAGTCGGACCTCTATAATTACACCACCCTCAGGACCATAGGAAATTTTTTTAAAAATGTTCATTTAGGGAGTGTGTGCATTTATAGAGAATTTTTACTATGTTTCTATATACTTGGGACGATGGCAGGGCGTGCATTTAGAGAGAATTTACATAGTGGGTGCATTTATAGAGTGTGCAATTATAGAGGTCTGACTGTAACTAGTATAGCTTAGCTAGAATATTTGTTTATGTAAAAATATAAAGAAAGACTAGAACAAAATTACAACCCTATTTTTTAATTGATTAAATTTTGATGCTGTTGAAATTTTTTTAAAGACATAATTGCAGTAATAAATTGTTGGGTTGAGATGTTTCGCACTGTATTTAATATTCCAAGAAATAGCCAGAGTTCCACTAAAGCCTCGATTTCCGTGTGGTCAATTACATTACTGTTATGTATATATTTTCAAATGGCCTAATCGAAATGTTTATAAAACATTACAAATTTCGAATATTTAATAAATAAGACCAGTATCAACAAAATTTCCAAGACATAGACAACTTTATTAGATTGATCCTTTTACAAATATTTTGCGACATAACTACTGTATGTGTGCATTTAAATTTCTGAATTTCGAATCGAATTCCAATATAAAAATTTTAAACTTTTATGTCATGCAATTTTCAATTCTATAAGTACATGCTCTATTAGGGTGATCTGTCAACTAAGTAAAGTGTGATTAATCAATAATATATTTATATGTGAATATGAAATACTTTTTTAGATAACAGGTTGGAACTTTCTTTTTAGCAGAAAATTTTGATGTAATCGACTCCTTCCTGTCTTAGTAAAAATGTTACAGAAACACTTTTTAAATTACATGTAGAGAATGAATTTTTTTTATTTTTTTTTCTAACTTCATGTGTACCGTATTGTCTCGAAATAACACCCTGGGGTGTAGATTAAAACTTAGGCCCGAATTACGATTAATCTAGGTCAAATTTTTAACCTTACACCCCGACAAATATATTTATAATAAATTAGTGAGGTATAATATGTAAAAATTTCCAACGGCACCAAAATGTTAATCCGGATACCATTTTTCTTAATTTTCCCAATTGTATACAGTAGAACTTAAAATACTTAAAATACTTTCGTAGATCTATTCTCACCAAATGCACTTTATGTACCATTCATCATTTTATTGGGTTGTTATTACTATAAACATTCCATACGTTCTTAAGGTTCTTTTCTACTATATATTTGACTTATTTGACGAGTATTACGTATAAGATGTACCCCTTAATTTCACGAGGATTTGTGGCTTATATTTATCTAATTAAATATATATATATAAGTATAATTCCAAGGATTTCCATAGTTTCCCAAATCCAAAATAATGAACGATAGGACCGAAAAAGAAGTGGCAAGAGAAGTCCACTCTACATTATATTCAAAGAAAACAAATGCACAGAAAAGTGTAATCAAAACATATTTTGATGTTAATGCTGGTAAATCATTACTCTCTTTCTTTGTAAGGCGAAGTGGTTTAAATATAGATACAGATAACTTTTGTCTTTTATTGATACATTATTTACATGAGTATATTTAAATTAAATGCCGATGTTCAAGAATAAATTGGGCAAATCTTGATTTTATTGATTACACAAATAATCTGTAACGATAATTCATTTTAACTTTTTTCAAAAAAGTTTTCGAAGATCCGATCGTCAGTGTCCAAGGTCACGACAATATAATCCGTCAGTTCCTTCTTCTGGCCACAATCTTTTTAAACATAACTCCTGAAATTCATACTATCACTGATACAGTAGTAGCAGGAAATCACCATATCGTTTGTATCGATGCATTCATCAAATATAGGTTGCCTTTAAAACTACTACTGATTCGTCACGAAATAGAATTACGTACAATTACACGATTTGAATTTAATGAGCAACAAAAAATTGTTAGGCATGAGGATATTTGGAGTTTAAAAGATTTATTGGAAAAATTGCCAATTATTGGATGTATTTATTCTGGAATCTGGAGAAGGTGCACTGGACTCGTTACAAATCAACTAGTGATTTTAACACAAGAAACTATTAAGGCTTGGAAATATGAATTGTAAAAAGCATCATAGCATTTATTTCATTAACAATTTTATTAATAAAGTACAATTGCCTTATATTTACACGAACATAACCTATATTGAATCATAGCAGTCTAAGTCCAATGCGAAGTAAAAAAAGTTTTTTTCACCATGTGCAAATTTTTATTTCCATATAATAAAACAATTTCTATACTCTATTTTTTTTTATCAAGTCCCAATACCAGATGTTTTGACCTTGATAAAACCTCACAGCATCTTGTAAACCACCAGTGATGATACCAACACCAAGTCCAATCATACATGCATATTTAATGCTTTGTCTCGGAAATCGATCTATATAAATAAGTATATTTGTTTTGATAAATTTAACTAAAGCAAAAAAAAAAAATCGATCAAATAAAATCAAACTAAAATTTTACATATCCCCGAAACGATCAAAGCTGTAGTAAGTCCAGCTCCACACGAGTTCAGAAAATCATTTTCTTTCCTAACTTCATCTAACATAGCTTCCAACCCCGTGAACGTTAAACATACTAAGCTCGTTTTCATCGCTAAACGTACACCACTTTTCATACCACCAATAAATATTCGATAATTTTTTCTTTTATGGTAAAAATACCATCCTCCTTTGGTTTTTGGTAATTTATGTGCATTTTCAGCCAAATATTGTAGCCCAGCCTTTTTTCCTCCTTCATATGAGCCAAGTATTAGAGTCCACGCACCAGTAAAATATAATACTGTAGTTATGCGTTCAGTTGGAGTGAGACTTGCTCGAAGTTTGTAGGACGGTGTTGTAGTTGAGGTTGAGGTTATTATTGAATTTTGCGTGTTATTTGACATAACAGTGAATCAGTGATAAAATATAATGATTATCATTATCTACTTAATTAAATTTTGGACCAATTAAATTAGGAAATAACCGAAACGTTGATGTTACACAAATGATTTTACACACCGTGTGCAAAATCAATTGTGTAACATCAACGTTTTGCTGGTCATGCTGTGTCGTTAAAGTTAGTGCTGGTCATTAGCTGTGTCCCTTAAATTCAGTGTTAGCCTATGACTTATATGACCTTTATGACGTTAAGGTTAGTACTGGTCATTAGCTGTATCGATAAGCTGTTAGGGTGTACAACATCGGTCTAATTACAAACATAGTGCATATGATATAGTGATGATCACTAATCAAGATTTTTTATAGTAAAAAATTTCCCGATCGTTTTTTAATAGTAAAGACTATAAGAAATATCTTTTAATTCCTCGTGTAATATTTAACATTGCTTAACCTTATAAGCAAAAAATGTTTAATGAAAGGTGTCTTCACATAGTAATAATGCTGGAATTTTTGTTTTACTAGAAAAATATCTTTTTTTCATGAGTATCAAATTTAGTCATATGATAGATTAAGTTGTACAAGTAGATAATGATAGCGATGCGATCTTTGCAACTTCAAGTTTTGTTCCACTAATAAAGATTTTATTAGATGATTATACTACATAAAAATTTGGGTAATTTCCAAAAATATTATTTATTTTAAAGAAATATTGTCAAATAATAATTAAATTTATTAAACTCTATTTTGTAGAAGGATGGTAATTACATATCAGTATATCTATATATTGGAAAAATTGCTGAATTTACATAAATTTATTTCAGTTATATTAAATCATTATTTTTTTCAACTACCACCTCCCCATTCTAATCTATTATTATTATATCAGGTGTTAGGTCTTGTTCATAATTGTCGAACATCATCTCTTCATTTCCAAAATACTCATATTCATTATCTGTTTCATTATCTAGTGGTGTGTTTGCATCAAGAAATATTTCCTTATACTCAATAATATAATTAAATGTAACTTTTCCTATTTTAGCATTTTTACCAAAACCTGATGCATTCTGAAGAATTATATAAGAACCCTGGATGGTAGTATAGATTAAGTAAAGTGTCATTGTGTTGTTTTGATTGAATAATTATACTCTGCATTAACGTATATTTCATGCTTTTTAGATTCATTTAAAGCAACTAAATGATTAGATAAAACCTTGGTTGGTTTTATTTTATTACGATCAAAAGTACTATATAAGGAGCAAATTTTTTTATCAGGTTTGTTTATATCATAGGTTGGATTAAAGATGCCCTTGACATTTTTTAAATGCCATTTAATATATTTATTTTATTCTCTTCTATTTATTTTACCTGAAACAAGAGTCATTTTTATAAATACAGAAAATCCACCAGTTTCATCTACTTTGACAAAAAGAGAAATACAAATTGTTTTATTAAAAAAATAATCATTTTGTTTATTGTATTTAGCAAGTTCACTGGCTTTTTTATTAAAGTCATATTTGGTTTTTTGTTTTTTAGAATTGTTTTTACTAGGGCATCTAGGTGGCATTTGACAAGATGAAAATATTCACATCAAGGAAAAGTTGGTACTATTTATATAGAACCTTTTTTCAAAGCAATTATATATATTAATTATTTAAAAAATTTTTTTTCTTTGTTAAGGATACTATTAAGATAAAGCATAAAAGATTTAACAAGTTTAACTAAACAAAGAGAATTCAACAAATTTATCTAGACAAAAGGAATTCGACAAATTTATCCAAATAAAAGGAATTTGACAAATTATCTAGACAAAAGAAATTCAATGAATTTATCAAACAAAAAGAATTCAGTGAGTTTATTCAAATAAAGAGAATTTGATATTTTAATTAAAATATTGATTTTTTAAATATAGAATCTACATTAATTATTATTTTCTAGATGGTTATTATTTAAGTACTGCCAAGGAAGAACCTGTAATTCATTATATAATAAGAATTACAGGGTTTTCCTTAGCAGCACTTATTTTAATACAATCAGTTTTATATTCTTAGTAGTTTATCTTGTTAGTGCAAATATAGAAAATATATCTTAATAAGATTTATGTATTATAAGAATTATTATTCAATACTTAACTATTTAGAGAACTATTAATATGCATTGCAACAAGATTTTCCATGTTATTCATTAGAAGTATTATTGCATATTTTTAAATTTATATGTTATCTATGCATTGAGTTGTAAATATAGAAAATATTATAATATAAAAAAATTTTAAATCTGAAAATCATTTAAAAAAAGGTTTTTTATATGCCATGTTCTTAATAAACAATATTTACAAAAGTATTACAAGAAGTGATATATAATTTTTAATCTTTTCAAAAATGTTGTTTGATTTCTTATACTAATCGTTTATAATACAATTCAAAATACTATTACGAATCGAATAATATTCTTAAATTCTAACTTTCTTTCCAAAAATGTTGATTGAATTGTTTTATAATACAAATCAAATTACTATTATGAATCAAATGATATTTTTAAATCTGTGATTCTTACCAAATTCAACTAAATTTAGAACTAAAAAAATTCTATTGTTATATAACAAACAGTTTATACTTTTTTTCATAGAATTACACATAAATGAACAATTTATTTTATTTTATTTTTTTTTTTAAAAGCGGCAATCTTGCCTGTCTGTCTTTATTGGATAATATATCATTATTCAAGTATATACAAAGTCTATTAATGAAAATACAACTAGTCACACATATAACTTTAGTCATTATCTAATTAAGCGTTCTGCCTAAGGGTTACTCACTAGCTGTCATATCTGAGATCTGCCTGTGAATCCCCTATTTAAACTTTCTGATTTCAATCCTATTGCATATATGCAATGCTTTTATTACCATATAGACATGCCAGGTTAGGGCTATCTAATTACTATTTATATCAAGATATCACCTCATTGGATGTTACCAGGTATCTATAGTCCCTCGAATTTACTCTCGACGCAGACTTACTAAGTATAATACCAAGATTACCTTTTAGATTTATCAAATTTTAGTAGATCCCATATCTACTAGAACCAGTTTAGTGCCAGAAATGTTCGAATTTCAGTAAGTCTATTCCTTTTTCATAGTTTTCTTTTATGTTCACTGTATCACCTACTAGTGCACTTTCTCTCTATTTCTGGTATGTTCATCGCTTCTCTCACATCGAGTGCCAACTCTTCATATCAGGAATCTTTTTTCTAAGAACTTCCTTATACACCAATCTTCTAATTACATGGACTTAGCCACAGGGCTTCACATACATTTATATGCTTCTGTAGATTACAAAGTTGCCTCCAGCTAAGATTGAACTGTCAACCTTGTCTGTGGAGAGAGGGGTGCCTTGACTACTAGGCTACAGGACCCCATCCCCATAAATAAACAATTTATTAAACATACATATATATTGTAATTAAGTAGTTATATTATATTAAAAATTGTAATAAAAAGTGCACTAAGACAAAAAGCAAACAATAATCTTTTCTCTATACTTGTTTATATTATTTTCATTTTTAACAAAGAAAATGTATTCTAAAATGCACAAATTTGTAATTATTAACTATGCATTTATATTTCTTAATTCTGATCTTTAACTTTATTGTTTTAAAAATATTTAAAAAGAAGATAAAATTTGTTAGTATAAAAGCTATTCCTCATAATTATAACCTAGTTTTATAACATCTCATATTGACAACCCTACCACATTCTTAAATGATCTAATTATCTAAATTAAAATTAAAAATTTTCAAAAACTTATTATATCCAAATACAATAAGAATTTTTCTGAACTAAAATTCTCTTATACTCCAATAGGTCAACTAAATCTGCAAAAAAAGCATCTTAAAAATAGCAGAACTTCACGAAATTGTGAACAACGAAAAGCATTACATGATGACCTAATTTTAATATTTGCTCAATTAAATGATAGTGATTTCATTTATATAATAAAAAAAATTTTTAAGTCTTAGGAAATGAAAACTCATAATCAAAGAAAACATAATGATCTGCTTATACATATTTGTAATTTACCTGATCAACAAATATTCAATATATCTACCCTTTTTCAAACAATGGTCTATACTTAGAAAAATAATCAAGAAGAGCTAATTTCTGCCTATTTGCAAAAAAAGACTCAAGATTTTATAAGTGAAAGTCTTTATAAATTAGATAATGGTATTTGTACACTAAAAATACAAAATGAAAATTTAAAACAAGGGTATGGCGACTTAGTGAAATGGATAAGTTGTCATACCTCCAAGTGGTAGGTTGTGAGTTCAAAACCTACTGACGGTGAAATTTGGATAATCACCTATGTAATATATAGCCGGTATTATGGTAACGGCATTCTGTTAATCAGTTGGAATAGGATACCTGTAACTATGGTTACACCAACATGATTGGCAGGTCTGGTGCATCTGTATAACTTGTTACACAAAGGAATGCAAACTAGTACCGGGCGGTGCAAACCTAAAATAAGTCCTCAGGCCATGTAAATCTGTAGAACTGGAAAGCCAGAGCCCACTTGGAAATTCTGAGCAGAGAGGTAACACGGATCTTTGATGGTACTACTGTAAAGGCTAGACCTAGGAAATGAATACCAATGTGAAGGATTCGAGTAGGCAAGAACCTCGTGTAAAAGGTATCACCAACCAGGCTGCCAGATTTTGGACCGAAGAAAAAAAATATTAGACTGGTCTCAATATACCAAGGACAGGTCACAGTTCTTCTGGGCTATCTGGATTGGGAGTCTGGGTTCAAAGCAAAGGTATACTAAAAGTACTAGGGATATGCTATGAAGTCAGTACTGGGATCTGGGTGAACTCTGTAAAGATAGCCCATGTTAGTATTCTAAAAGTGAGTAGATAGTTAACAATGGGTGGCTTCTGCGCCTTACTGGCAGGTGATGTACTCTGAAATGTGTAATGGTCTGAAAACCAGTACAAAAAAGGTAGGTACCATACTGCTCAGACAGTATATCGGGTAGGTATATATAGGGTTAGTTTGGAGATTCTAATATGACAAGGCAGATGATTAGAGGGTTTAAATAGATAACCTTCTAGTAGGTTATAGGTATGGCATCTAGTGTAGAACCTTAGAGCGGACTACTTAAATAGGCAACTAAAAGTTGCATGCATGACTAGCTGTACTCTCATCTCTATAAAAATAGTTATAATAGCTAACCCAATATAAAGTCAATAAAGTATCATCACAAGTATGTCCTTAGCAAAAAAAAAAAAAAAAATTTAAAACAAGAGAATAATCATTTAAGAAAATATAAAAATATTACAACTAAACAAATTCACACACTTTCTATACAATTAACAAAAGCAAAACAAACAAAACAAAAGCAAATTTTAAAAATTTGAGCTGCTATTTGTAAAGCAAAGCAAATTCAATCTGCCTAATTTCTACATGCAGCTGATAAATTGTTTAAAGCTAATAATAAAGAATATAGTGCAAAGTTTGTAAAGTTAGCTACAGATATTAGTAACATTGGACAAACCTTCATACATGCAACAGTAGAATGCACTAAAGCCTTCTACCAATTCTTAACTGGAGAAGCACCACAGCAGTAAGTAATGCCAAGCACTTTAGCATGATAGAATAATGAAATAGCAGCTTTGTCCTTTGACTAAAACCATCCTATAGATGCTTGTTTCAGATTTTTTGGCTATGGCATTATGGTTAATGAAAGCACTAAAGGAAAAAAAAAAGTACTAATTATTTGTTTTTCATATTGGAATAATATTAAAGAAAAACTCACAATTACTATAGTAAAATTAACAGACCTAACATATTGCAATGCTAAAACAGTTTCAACTACAGTATTTGAAACATGTTAACAAAAGAATATAAACTCCCAGAGATGTCATTTTTGGCTAACCAATAACACGGCCTATATGTCTTCAGAATTAAATAGTGCTGTTGTCAAATTCAACTCATTATCAACATCTAAATCTTTTTGAGTTCCTTGTGGATTGCATATGACTCATATTGCTCTAACAAATTTTGAAAATACAGCATTTGAAAAGTTAGATGCTGTTAAAGAATTATTATTAAAAGAGCATCTATATAACTTACTTAATCTCACTTTTCACCTTCACAATGGATACGATGTTTCAGATAAGGACAGTCCATTAAATCTAAAATCTGAAACATTTCAAAAGCTCTATAAAATAATGTTTAATTTTGAAATGAATAAGTATCAACAACCTATACATTAATGGTGATTATATGAACTTAAAACTGCTAAACAATATCTCAATAGGTGCAAAGTTTATATTTCCTTTGTAAGGTTTTTTATTGAGCAACTTGAAAGTGCCAAGAATGTCCCAAAATCATATTTATATAAGTGGCAAATATTTCTTAAGTGGTTAATAGATAAACAGCTTAACCTTCAAATACATTGTTTGGTTAAGTTTGGTCAAAATTTTTATAAGCCTGTCTATAATTTTTTAGTTGGCCATAATTCAACTCCACGTATTCATTAACAAAACGATGTATATACTGTTCTACT